GGCCACATGTGGCCTGCAGGCCATAGTTTAAGGACACCCGCCCAAGATCATTCTTACTTAGAAAAAGATTGATACTACGTTTGATGTAGCTCCCCCCAAAAATAATAAAGAGATGGCAAGTAGCCAGTGATCTGAGAGCACAGATCATCAGCTTCTCATTATAATTCTGAATGCTGTGGAAGGATTTAATGTCTCTGCTTAGCTTAAGCTGTCTAAGGAATGAGTTCCTAGGGCTGGAGAGGAATGTGCACCAGGAGATAAGTTAGGCTCACCCCCAGAGCAGAGTTTGTCCTCTGAACAGCTTTGCTTCTGTACCTGTAGGAGATGAGTAAACCCAGTTCTAGAGCCCTGCAGCAGGCTTGGGATCTCCTGGAGGATGAGGAAATCTAGAGAAAGAAGGCAGGCAGAGGGGTAGCAACCTAGTCTAAACCTAAAGTCACTTCAAGTGCTGAAGGTGATTATTTCCCCTATAGGAATGTTAATGAAAATACTAAAAGAATCCAGGACATGCTGCATGCATGCCAGGCCCTTCTCCAAGCACCTTACAGCCCTTGTCTTATACAACCTTATGAGGGTAGCAGCTGATTTCTTCGTTTACAGACAAAGCTCATAGTAAACCTGCCAAGGTCATAGAGCTAATAAGAGGCAGGACCAGGAACCAAGTCCAAATTATGCTGAAGCAAAAATCAATAATGCTTCTTAGAAGAAACAATGATATCTCCTCTAACAAAGAAAATGGTACTATTTGAGCTTTAAAACCAATTGGTTTTAAGTGGTTCATGAATAGCTTTTCATTTTGAAGCTGAAAGATGTTTTATTTATTGGTATTTTTAGTCTAAGTGTATCAGAATCAGTTCATTCAAGACTGTATGCCAACTGGTGCCAATTTGTCAAGCTTATTACTGGCCATGAACTGTTACATGTCATTGTCAAAATAGCACAATGAATGATTGCTTAGTTACTAAATCCAACTTTTATCCTTGGAGTGATTTTTTTTAATTTGAAAAAACAGTATATGAAATCAGCAACCTCAGCACTTTCTTTTAACACAAATGCAGCTTACATACTCAGCTATTTTATCTAAAAACTTCCTAGTTAGATTTATGGATTTAGATTGGGCAAATATGAAATAGATTTATGGTTTAATTTTTTGTTTCTTTGGGGTTTTTTGGTAGTTTTTGCCAGGGCCGGGTTTGAACCTGCCACCTCCCGTTTATGGGGCCGGCGCCCTACTTCTTTGAGCCACAGGTGCCACCCCGATGTATGTTTTAATTTTTTAAGGCAAGTGTTAAAATCTATTCTAAAATAGATTATGTTTGTATATTCTGTATATATATATTTGATTATGGGATGAGGAAAGAAAAGAAAAATTTCAGTTATGAGCTCTGTTAAAGATCACTGGGTTAAAAAAAAAACTTAAATTTGTGTTATTCTGACATTTAACTATATAATTAAATCTGATGCTTTAGTGGGCATAGGCAAACCATGATTTCTTCACTCTAACATTCATTTAGAAGCCACAGAAGCTTCTTTCAGTTCTTTTGTTTTAAATGTGCAAATATATAAGGTGTAAGGGTCTGGCTCTCCCCCGTTCATGCAGGACAGGGCTCTTCTAATAACCATGGGCTCAACTTGATGTGCTCAGAGACACTCCCTTCTGGGCATTACTATCTACAAGTGAGTGTGGTTGTTCTAACAGAGTGCTAGCTTTATAAAATAATATTAAATATGAAACTTTCTGATAGATATCGTATCTCAAATAGAACAAACCCAATTTCTATGCCCTATGTAGCAGATAGCAAGTGGATAAATAGCAACAGGATTTGTAATTTAAGCTATCTAAAAAACAATGAGATCTTATAAAAATGGCTTTTATTTATGGCAGTCATCTTAATTTGCATATTTAAAAGTCTGTTATACCGAAAGTTTTTTTTGTGGTCAGGGCCGGGGTTTGAACCCACCACCTCTGGTGTATGGGGCTGGCGCTCTACTCCTTTGAGCCACAGGCGCCTCCCTATACTGAAAGATTTAAAGGCAGTTTAAATCCTTTGCAATTGCAGGTACTATTTTTTCCTTAATATGTATTACATTATTTTACCCCTGTTATAAAAGCACATCTCAGCATTTGACTGTCCATTTCGTTTTTGTCACTTTCATGTGGATCACCCTCACCAGCCGTGCTTAACCTGTCCCTGGAGGAGGAAGCTTACTTGTCTCTGAGTGCTGGCTCTCTGGGCGAGGGGCCAAGAGCTCTTGATAGAGTGAGATGAGAAGTTCTACCTGCATAGAATTTGGCTCTCATACTCAGGCAGTACAGAGTTAAATGTGGCCTTGTGCTACCTGGAGACCCTTATTTACCTACTACACATTAAGGTTTAAAATTATCAAGACAGTCGAATGTTTCTCTAAGTATAAAAGTGTTTCTCTGTTTCCTCCTCTCTTGCTTTGGAGTTAACACATTTCTGAGTCTCTGTGTTGCTTAAGGAAAATAAAAAGAATGCTATGACCAAGTCCGAGCTGTCTCTCTCCAGCCCAGTTCCCTTCTTCACTTTGTATTTATAATTTCTAATATTACTATTACAAAAGATAGTATTTTAATTATGGTGAGTTATATCCTTCCAAATTCTAGATTTCAAACACTCCATTTGTAAGAGATTTACAGAATGTTGCCTTTTTTATAAGGTGAATCCCTTCCACCCTGAGATTGTTATAGTTCTTTCAAAACCAAGAATTCATAGAACCCATATTGAAAAAAATACCCTGGACCAAGCCAGTCCATTAACTGAATTATAGAAGTTGTAGATATTAACATTTAAGAACTTACTATGTGCCCAGTACTGTGCAAAGAGCTCATTGTACATTAGTTCACTAAATTGTTAATACAACCCAATGTAGAAAGTATAATATCTTACATATTTTTAGCCAAGAAGGTAGTAGGCCATAAAAATATTGGTCAAATACATATTTTTGGAGCCTCTTCAGTTCAGGGCATTGTGCTAGGTTATAAGGCTGTATAAGAGCCCAAGGAGGCTGGGCTCAGTGGCTCATGCCTGTAATCCCAGCACTCTGGTAGGCCAAGGCAAGTGAACCTGAGCTCACAGGTTCAAGACCAGCCTGAGCCAGAGTGAGACCCTGTCTCTAAAAATAGCTGGGCATTGTGGTGGGCACCTGTAGTCCCAGCTACTCAGGAGTCTGAGGCAAGAGAATCACTTCAGCCCAAAAGTTGGATGTTGCTGTGAGCTATGACACTACTGCACTCTACTGAGGGCAAGAAAGTGAGACTCTGTCTCAAATAATTAAATAGGCCAAGGGTCCTGGTCCTTAAGATATTTGAACTTTTAGTAGTAGTACACAATGGCAGGTAAGTGCCCAGATGAGCACATCAGTGGGGGTGCTTTAAGCATTCACTGTGGGCAAAACCACGCCAGGTACTTGAAAGCTCTTCTTAGAACCCTTGACACTTGAGCACTTGAGCTAGACATTGAAGGGAGTTGAGATAAAATAGTCCACCAAAAAAGGCTGTATATTTGAAGCAGAGGGAATACTTTTGGCAATTTAGGGAAAAAATAACTTGAATGTGTTGAGTAGAAAGGTTAAATTCAGGGCCCAGATGAATACTGCTGTGGACAGTGGTATAGAGGGTGTCTAAGAGCAATTCTTCCCCCACAGATACAGGGCTGCTATCAGTGGACCATAGGCACTAAAGTTAGGAAGTTTAGAGCCTAACATGTTAACATTATGATCCAGCAATAATGAAAAGTTAACATATATTGAACATTTACTCTGTATCTTATTTTATGCATTTTTACATGTATTATTTCAGTCAATCTTTACAACAACCCTCTGAGGTAATTTACAGACACAGGAAGACAGAGATTGGTAAGACAGAGAGCCAGAGTCTGCGCTCAGGCAGTCTGCTCCCACAGCCCTCCATGCTCTGCCCTGCAGTGCGTCTAGAATTCTTAGGACAACTTCTGCCAGCGGTGCCACCATTGTCTCAAAACTTGCTACTTGTACAGAAGATTATAATCTCAGAGACACGTGTCTGGGAGACAGCAAGGGCAGGTCAATTTCTTATCACTACTACTAAGAAACTTTTCTTAACAGTTTGGCATTTTCTTAACATTCAAGACTATTTGCTCATTAAGCATCAGGAACCACTTTGAATTCTAAAGTGAGATAGCATAAGGGCCTGTCCCACGTGCCTCCAGGCCACTGTTAGTGTCCCCATCCCCCCTGTGCTCTTTGCTGGAACATTCCCTCAGCTACCACCCTACCTCCCACCCTCCTTTATTAACCCCTTCTGTTTCTCCAAAGGGGCTATTTAGGGCATTGTGCATGTCTCTTTCCCCTTAACATCTTGAATGAGGTTAAGGACCATGTTTTACATGACTCTCCAGCATCTTGCATATGACTGCTAAAAACACTTAACCTTCGAGTTAAATTGCTAAGGAGGTAGTATACCAGGTCAGGGCCTCACTTGCAGTTCAAGTTGATAGGTTAAAAAAAAATCATGAAATTTTCATGTGTTTCTGACCACTGAAGCAGATTCTGAATTTTTCTTTCCAGTAGCTATCATAGTAACATTGAGTTAAAAGTGAGAAGATTTGTATTTTATTTGAAGAGAGGGGTATATTAATAGGAGGTATCAAAGATGTGAATTCTGTTAGCATTAAAGGGGCTAGTCCAGTATCCTTTAATTCCCATTTCAAATGTAACTTAACCATTTAGTTGTAGAATGTCAGATTACTGTTCCTGTGAATGAAGATAATTTCTTTCTAAAGGTCTTGTAATTAGCAAGCAGGAAATAAAACTAAAAATGACTAGTAAATATTGACCCAAGTGTCCAGGAGCACCAGTATTTATAGCCCTTGTTTGTTCACCATGGTTCACTCTGTCCTGGTTTTTCAGTGCTTTTAGTTCTATCTTACAGTGTGAGTCAGCATTACCACCCAAACTGATCATCACTCAATCTGTATTTTTATCTTTCCCAAACCTAGGTAAGAACCTTGATGCTGTCCATGACATCACTGTAGCATATCCCCACAACATTCCTCAGTCAGAGAAGCACCTTCTCCAGGGAGACTTTCCCATGGAAATCCACTTTCACGTCCACCGATATCCTATAGACACCCTCCCAGCATCTAAGGAGGACCTTCAGCTCTGGTGCCACAAGCGATGGGAAGAGAAAGAAGAGAGGCTGCGTTCCTTCTATCAAGGGGAGAAGAATTTTTACTTTACTGGCCAGAGTGTGATTCCACCTTGCAAGTCTGAGCTCAGGGTCTTTGTGGTCAAATTGCTGTCTATACTGTATTGGACCCTGTTCAGCCCTGCAATGTGCCTACTCATATATTTGTACAGTCTGGTTCGATGGTATTTTATAATCACCATTGTGATCTTTGTGCTACAGGAAAGAATATTTGGTGGACTGGAAATTCTAGAACTTGCATGTTACCGTTTCTTACACAAACAGCCACATTTAAATGCAAAGAAAGATAATTAAGATTATAATGTTCACAATGTAAAAATTTAGGGAACATTTTGGAAATGTTCTAAGCCTTTGTAAACTGAGATGCATTTTTGCATGACTATGTCAGATATTTCTTACTACCATCATTATTTGTTAAAGATATTTTGCACTTAATTTTGTGGGAAAAATATTGCTACAATTTTTTTTTAATCTCTGAATGTAATTTCAATACTGTGTATGTAGCAGGGAAGGATAACTTGGGCCAGATTATTAAACAATCATCAGGCTGTCATGAGACAAGGAACGCACAAGTTTTTCTCAAAGGCCCACTTCTGTTTTCTAACAGACTCCTTAGACCACAGCAGATACAGAACTCATTCGGGAGCACTGGCCCAGACCACGTGCTGTTACTTGACTGCCCAGGTCACCTTATCGAGGTGAGCACTGTTCCTCCAGGTACCCGGGCAGGTGGCGCCCAGGCTCCCTCCCTTGGCACACTCCTTCCTATGCCAATCAGACCCATATCATCCTTCCTTAAAATCAGAAATTGGAACTCCCTTGTTCTTCAGCTGATCAAACATTTTGATAGGAAATCCTTCATTATTCATAGAATTTTAGGCTGACCAAGATGTCAGAAGGCCACCGTGCCCTTTTATCTTGTGAAAGATAAGACCTGGACATGTCTAAGGGAGCAACCCCAGGCTCTCCACTTTGAAACCGTGATTTGAATTTTAAAAGATAAGAATTGATACAGTTCAAATTCTGCACTCATACTCAGTCTTGCATGCTCAGTGATGGCTTTCTTACAACTTGATGGCAGGTTTAGCTTTTTCTGCATTAAAAATAACAGTGGCATAATGTGAAGTCACTACTTTTTTTAAAGAACGGTTAGAAGAACATTCTGTTATTGCAGTCAGAAACTCTTTGAAACATTTTTTTACAGCCTACCAAAAAAAGAAGGTTGTGTTTTCTACATGCCATTAAAACAACAAAAATGCTTGCAGACAGGGCAGCCGTGGTTTGTCCTAAATTATTCAACCCTGTAGCCTTGACAGATTTTACTCTTAAAACCAAGATGAAAATGCAAAAATAAATCCTTTTTAATGATAGCAATGGATCTTTTTAATCATAGATTTCCTCTTTTCTATAATAATATTTAAACCCACTTCGACCAGTTGCCTAAATACTCCTGTCATTTGCAGTCAGTGGAAAGTCCAGCACACCAATACCACCAATCTCCTCCTGAAGCAAAAGAAACGTGTCACTTTAGTTGCCCCCTACTGGAGCCTTGCACTCCTTTTTTTGTCCTGTAATAGTGATGCCAGTCAGAGTGCAGAAGATGCGAGGCCATTACAAGTCCTTAGCTGTCAGCAGATCTGCCAGGTTTGCTTCTGCATCGAACCAGCCTCAAAAGCTACTTACTGCACGATGTTCTCTTCAGCCCGAATGCTTTCTCTTTAATTACATCTCATTTTTGCTTGACAGTGACCTACCCAATAATTGAGTCATGCATTGCCATGAAAGGTAAACACATCGTGAGCTGAACTTTCCGAGCAGATTCTTTGAGAAAGCTCTGGTTGAAGCCGAACACTGTTGACACATCATTTTTATTGGAAGAGCATTAACTGGTGGCTCTGCTGAAACTCACCACCCCATGTTTAACTGGTCCCCCAAAGCTGTTTCCAATCCTCCTGGAGCTACTGATTAGTATTGTGCACATCTGCTCCAAACCTCGCTGTTTAACTGCATGGTTTGGTTTTCATTTAGTTGGGAGCGTTTTTGTTTTTTTGGCATAAACCAAAAAAAGCCAACTTTTTTTTTTTTCTGCCCTCCATAAGGGTTCTAATTTGTTTTTTTAAAGACTTGCTTTGGTTATATTTGGAAACAAATAGTTTAACAATCAGGATTGCATTTGTCGTGGATAAAAGAAAAGTTATGCTTTTTACCCCATAATTGTTGGTGACAGAGCTCATCTGCCCTCCCCACACATCTGCCTGGCTCATCATCCAAGATACAACTCCCATTAAGTACATGTCCTCTTTCACTTTCTTTAAGAGGCACAATCTCTTTTTCTTTTTAAAAATTTTTCTTCTAATCATAAAAAACATGTTTAAGGTAAAATACAAACTTTCTATTACCTACCCCAAATTCATACAGACATTGTACTTGCTTGCAGAAGTAGAAATAGTAATTCCCAAAGTGCCTTTTGCATTTTTTTTTTTTGCAACAAGGCTTTTTAAAAATTGGTAATTATTTGTGTTTTCCTACACATTTAACTGTGTTAAAGCCTTTTTCTTCTTTTATGTAAAAGATTTAAAAGACCTATACAGGTAATGATTGGAACTTAGAACAATTGTTGTTTACTGTCAAGTATAAATTAATTAGCTTCAATAAGGTGATTGGCCTCAGGAATTAATCCCTTTCACACCGTCCCAGTTCAGTACTCTGGCCACACACAATTCCTCCTTATCCCCTTTCAGTCCTTTGAAGGTAAGCTCAAAGGACTTCAAAATACTTCCAGAGCTATATGTCCAGTTGTTAAATTTATCCCGAAAGATTCTTAATAAAGTGAATATGATTTATTTATGACATGAACCCTTCTATTTAAAATATGAACCTATAAGCAGAGGCACTGATTGGGTAATAAGTTCTTACACCAGGTGCCATTGATAACACAAGACAAATAAAATACAGTAGAACCTCCATAGCTGACCACCTCCTTACATTGACTACCCTCCTAAGGTGACCTAATTTTCATAAATCAAACATGCACCGTGTGTACGTATCAGTACAGTAGACCTAGTTCCTTATGGTGACCAGTTTGTTACAGTCCCTTGGGTGGTCAACTTACAGAGGTTCTCCTGTAATTTTAAAACTTGTTAGAAGAACATGGTAAGAACTAAAGCAAAAAAAAATAAATATTAGAAAGAGCCCGTAATTTAAGACTCAATAAAGTTCTTTCTTGTTACGCTAGTAAAACTCACAAATAACACCTTACACTTCAGTCCCTTGGAAGCTAGTCACTTCAGCAGCACCATGTCAAAAGTCACATTGGGTAGCCAGGACCCCAGTAGAAAGACAGGTTCCCGTGTGACCCTGGTCAAGCTCTGGCCCTGACCTCCCTGCCCCTGTGCACACGGTAAAGACTCCAATGGACGGAGCCTCTTGGTGTTAAATTGTTTACATTTCTTTATATAAATAATGTGCTTTCAGTGCCTTAGTTACAGGTCCCTTTCCTTTCCTTGTTCCGAGAATTCTGCACTCTGTTTCTTAGGTAAAGTTTCTTTTTACTACTCCCCGGGAGAGAGACGGCCTCTGAACAGTCGCTGTCGCTATAACACGACTGTTAGAGCACGTTCAGCAGAGCGCCAGGTGCCAAGGCACTGGCTGTCTCAGCGCTACTATTTGTGCTGTAGAAAATGGAAATGGTTTTGCTAAACGATGACCTTCAGATTAGATACGGCCCCAACGTTATCTTGTACCTATCTGAAATGTTTATTTTAGAAGAAAATCTTGCTTTTGGTAATTCATTTTTTAAAAGATAATTATGTGCAAAACACTGAGTTTTAAAAATCTCTCACAGAATGGCCTTAGTTTTCAGTGTCCACTGGTACGTTTGTGAGTTATCTGTTATATATCCCAGAATAAAGTGAAGTGTATTAAATAGTTCACATCTGTGTTCAGTTTCTTTTTCGCATAAATGATTTAAAACCTGCAGGTGCTACTTTGTTTGTCTACATTGTTACAGCATCACAGTATGTACTACTAAAAAGAAAATCTGGTCAGTTGGTTCTTTTTGTTTCACAGATGTTAAAAAGCAAAATCGCCTAAGCAAGAAAAGAATGTACTGCCTCTGAATTGAGAAGGTCCACAGTTGAAGTCAGGGCTCAGTGAATGTCATTAGATCCTGATTTTCCTCCAGCTCTTCATCATAGCCCTGCTGTTGAGAACAAGTGGGTCATTCCACAAGTGTGGGATTTTATGTAGATAACTGCATCACCAGCTCAGGTAAATGGGACTCTCTTCCCACAACCCTGCCCTCCTGGCAGGGAATGTATAACTATGAAAGCAAATCTTGGACCACAACTTGACAAATGTATGAAAATGTGCTTAGCACTCACACACACACACACACAAATCATGGAACCTTTTCTTATAAGCTCTGCAGTGCCCAGTCTGTCTTCAGGTTCTCCAGTGAGCACTGTGTGTGCAAGATTCACTCTGAGGGGAGCCACAATGTTGTCCTCTGGAGAAGGGGCATGGGGGCCAAAAGAGCACAGGCCTCGTGGCCCCACGAGCATTGGTCCCAAGGATGGCCATCGGGCTTGTGGGACTCCTGTATTCAAGTAAAGGGGAAAGAAGAGGGCATGTTCTTTCTAGCCACCCAATGACTTTCAACATTACTCTTTTCACTGATAAATTGTAAAGGGTTTAAGCAATTCCTGGAGAGGGGATTTCTGATGAGGGTATTCACATGCCAGTTAGTAAGCCTGAACACACAGACAGGGAGTTCTTCATGCCCAAGTATTTTTAAAGTAAATTACTAAAGAGACAACTATGTCTCTGCCGGTGTTGACTTGATTTGCAGGATCCACGTGGCTCCATGATGCCTGCAGCTTCTTAGCCCTACATCCTCTCAGTTCCAAGTCTGGTGGGAAAGAATGAGGGAGACAGCTTCCCCAGTGGCTCAACAGCAATCCTAAACCAGTCACTGACACAGAAATACAATGTATGTTACATCGCTGGGTTACTTACCACCTCCTAGAGCCAGGGTGGAGCTTGTTCTCCTAGGTCTGAGGCTGGTGACTTACTCTCCTCCCAATGGCCCCACATCCTAGCACCACTTTGGGAGTTAGGAATTCAATATATGAATTCTAAGGGGACATGAACATTCAGAAAAGATGATCCCACCACAGCCATCTGGCCAAGGGACACTGTGGGTGCTCGGGGACCTTCTTAGGGTGGGTTGCTGCCTGAGGCCTATCCTAGACCTTCCAGCCAAAGTTCCAGTCCCTCTGCAAGGCCAAGTAGAGCCCCAGGTGATCATGCATTAAGTATGCCAGAGGTCTCCCTCCGAGAACGCTCCCTGGAAGCCCCCTTGCCATGACCTCACAAGCATGCCTTCCTACGGGGCGCGAGCAAAGTACCATCAGAGCTCCCTCTTATGCCAGGGCTCTCAAACCAGGTGTGTTAGGAGTACCTGCAGAGTTTTAACACCTGCCCCAGGCCTCACCTCGTAGATGCTGATTTAGTTGGTCAGGTGTGCAGCCTGACCATCAGAGCTTTCAAACCTCCCTTGGTGACTCTAATAAGCAGTCACTGTACCAAATCTTCTAAGGCCTCAGACTCCAGCTTCCACCTTCTGGGCCTCTCATCCCTCATTTATAAAATAAGCGTTTGGCCTTAGGTGTTCTGGAAGACTAAGGTCATTTATGGGTTGATTCCACTCAATAAATACTTAATAACTACATACTAGCTGTGCGTCCATGGCTTAGGACTAGGGAGGGAGCAAAGATGAGTAAGCTTTATCCTTTACCCTTTGTATGCACACACACACACACACACACACACACACACACACACACACACTTTCTTTCTAAAAACAACCCAAAATGTTGTTCGTGAAGCACCACCTTCCAGAATATGAAGCCAACCGGCCCAGGGTGCGGAGAGTCAATAAGGAAAGGCCTCCTGCATCTGGGATTGCAGTTTGGGTGCAGGCGGGGCTGGAGGCTTCCCTAACACCCTAGAGAGCAGAAGACATCAACCCTGTGGCCACCCTATCCCCCAGGGTTAAGCAGATGTTATGTACAGTAGCTGGGAGTGCTGGTGCCAGAAACCATGGTAAAATGACAGAGACCACAGCCTGCTCCCTGTAACCATTTACATCCCTCCTCACGGGCAGACAGGATTTTTCCATCCCATGGACTGGCTAGGAAAAGGTCCTTCTTCTTTTCAACTCTTCATTCTGTGAGATTAAAACTCCCCACTGGGAGGTCCCCCCGGTGACCAGTGCTTCCCAGGGAACAGGATTGCTGGCCCAGTTCCCTGGACCATGGTTGGTCACCCAGGGAGTGAGGGTGGACTACTCAGAGGATGAGTTACAGTGACAAATGTGAGGGTAGGCCAGCATCCAGGTGACAGCAGGCACTTCTCGGAAGCATGAGATCATCCTGAGAGAGACATGTGAATAGACAAGTAGATCTCCCCCCCACCTCCTCCCTGGGAGATGACTTCACTCCTCCTGAAGTGGCACACGTCCTCAGGACAGCCACCAAGGATGAGAAGTCAGCCATGGGTCCTAAGGAGGTTGCTGGGGAAATCTAGGCTGGAGACAAGGCTGGCTTTGTGGGTGTGCCCTGCCCTCAGGAGGATCTGCACGTGGTGTAATGCTCTGCTGTCACTGTCTTGAAGTTCCTGATAACCTTGAATGAGGTTGCTGTTTTCCCTTTGCACCAGGTTCCACACATTACATAGCTGGTCCTTGCTGGAGGCTTATAGCAGGCCCAAGAGTCCTGGCCGCTCATGGAAATCACCAGGGACGCTTTTCAAAGGGGCACGCAGTTAGCCCACTCCCACCCACCCCCAGAATAGGGACAGGCACCCTTCTTGGCGACTCAGACACAGGCAAGCTGGAGAATGCCAATTTCAAGGCATGGCTTTCCCATGCTCACATCCTGTAAGAGATCCTGGATGAGCTGTGCGCACCCCCTTGAGGCTACCCTGCATAGCCCCATGGTATGGTCCCCCCACACTGCCTGGAAGGCCTCCCTCTGTCCCCCCAAGACAACATGTACCCTGAGGCA